TGCTGATACTAGTGCACCAGTTTCTACCGCTCCTGGTCTCTATGTTTCTGCAGGTCATTAACTACTGCGTGGCGAGAGAGGAAAGCCTCTTTGTCCAGAGATGGGAAAGACACACTTGAGAAAGTGCTGGCCTTACTAAGGCGAAGATTCGGCCCTCCCGAGACGGTGCAAACACTCAATTGTGCTTTGTATTCGAGAAATCACAACGAGGATGAATCTCTCGCTGATTTTAGCCGTGGTCTCATCAGACTACATGACCGTATGGAGTCGGCATCGACTAATGCCAGTGAAAAATCTGCGCTTGCACAATCACGAGACGGTGCGCTGAAGCAGCAGTTCATACGGGGAAGAAGAGGCACTGCAATCAAACGAGAATTGCGCAAAATAAGCCATAACGAGGCAGAGCTTTCTTTCTTTGCGTTCCGTGAGCTAGCCCTTGAATTGTTGCGGGATAGCGATGATGGTCAGAATAAAGAACAGAGAACTGAACATTATTTAGTTGGTCAAGCAAGCGATGCTGTGGTTAGCGATTGTGCGTGGAAGCAAGGGAAAGAAGTGATTGGCTGGATTGGCCGAGGGTCAAAAACAATTGACAGCACTCATGCAGAGTTTCGTACAGCAACAAACCGAGACCAATGCACGCTTGAGATCGTTGACTGATGCAGTTAAAAAACTAAAAAGCAACACAACCTCTGACTTCGCCGGTCAGAGGTCAGACAGACGTCCCCGTGGCCCAAAGTGTAGTTTTGTGGGAAGACAGGTCATGCCGTCGAAACATGCTTTAAACGGAAAGCATTTGAGCGTGCGCAAGGTGATGCAGGCACAAAATCTAACCCACCAGAGAATAAACAAAGTGAGGTTTTCAGGAGGTTAGAACAACAGGTCTCAAGTTGAAAGGTTCTATGTGTAAGCTCTTCCAGAAATCATTGACTCACCTTGGGCATGTGGTAAGCGATCAGGGGTCTCTATCGATCCCAGTAAATTAGAACGCATCCGGAGCTGGCCAACGCCCAAGAATCCTGACCAGCTGAGGTTCCTTCCTTGGATTGGCCTCTTACTATAGAAGGTTTGTCAAGTGTTTTTCAAAGGCTGCTGTACCACTCCATGCGCTGGCGGTTAAGGCACTCCCAAAAGCAAGGAAGCTAGGAGGTCCGGATTTATTCCTCTGGTCTAATGAGGCTGAGCAGGCCTTCATGTTTCTAAAGGAGGCCCTTTGTACATCACCGGTTCTGGCTTTCCCTCGCTTTGATAGGGACTCCTCACTTGAGATAGATGCCTCGTTAAGGAGACTCGGAGCATGTTTGTCAAAGCAATGACAGTGGGGATCTCCATCCAGTGGTGTATATATACCAGCAAAGATCTCAGAGGTGCTGAGAGAAATTATGCCGACTTCTCGAGCTTCAAGCTGGAGCTACTTGCCCTCAAATGGGCAGTGCCGGAAAAGTTCCGGTCCGATCTGCTTGGTTGACATACCGTTGTATGGACTGACAGTAGTCCAGTAGCACATCTGCAGTCTGCCCGTTTGGGAGCAACTGAGCAGCGTTTGGTGTCCCAGCTGGCTCCATTCGACCTCGAGATCAAATACCGCAGCGATCACTCTAACAGATGTGCTGACACGCTCAGTCACAACCTACCACAAGAGGCAGTGACCACCGTCGATCTGATACAGACACTCAAGCAGTGTACCCTCTTACCCGGAGAGCTCCAGGCACTGAAGGTAGTAGCCTATCTTCTGCCCCAGTTGTGGAATATTTGAAGCTTCCTTTTCAGAACACTGAGGACCTCGTCAGTTCTCCCCTCATACTCACATGCTGAGCTCCCTGTTATGCAGAGGGAGGACCGGATCCTAAAGGAAGTCTGTGACAGATGGGACAAGCGCTGGAGTGGGAACCTGGCCAAGACAGGTCGTGCCTCCACCCGGAATATGCTGAGCTAAAAGGATGGCTGAGGGAGTGGCCCCATATTGTAGAGCGGGACAAGGTGTTGTATAGAGTTGTTGATGAGCCGGGCCTGGGTCCGGTGTTTCAGCTTTTAGTGAAAAGTTGACTACGAATGGCCGTTATCGAAGTCGGTCATGATCAGTGGGGACACCAGGGCTACGGTCGGACATGATGTTCATAAAGCGACGCTGTTTTTGGGCCGGGAATGAGAAACCAGATTTAAGAGCATGTTAAGAATTGCTTTCACTGCATCACAGCTAACTCCTACAGTCCGCCCCCCTATGCGGCACCTTCTGGCATTTAGGCCTGTCGAACGAATCGCGCTTGACTTCCTGAAACTTGACAAAGGTCGTTATGGCTATGCAGATATTCTGGTAATAACCGATTCGTTCACGAAGTTTTCAGCAGCAGTCCCTTGCAAAGACCAGACTGCAGCAACATTGGCTGCGGTACTGCGAGACGAGTGGTTTGTCTGCTATGGCGCGCCAGCTCAGATCCATATAGACCAAGGGTGAAATTTTGAGATTTCTCAGGTACGTGAACTCTGTAAGTTGTACAGTATCTGCAAAACAGGCACCACTCCCTATCACGCGCAAGGCAACGGGCAAACCGAAAGGTTTAACAAAACACTCTGCGGCCTGATGGAGTCTCTTGATCAGAAAAAAATAGGCGTGACTGCCCCTAGCTCTTGCCACACCTTGTTTTCATATATAACTCGACACCCCATAGTGTAACTGGGTTTGCCCCGTACACCCTCACGTTCGGGAGATAGCCAACTGTTCCTCTGGATCACCTGCTGAGTAATGCTTGCAAACGCTGGGGAAGCGATGCAGTTTCCCGTCAGGCTGAACTTATTCAACGTGCATACAAGATTGCCACAGACAGGATGGAGAAAGCTGCCAATGGGAATATGATGCGATATGATAAGCGGGTTCATTTATCTGTCCTGCCAGTCGGAAGTCCAGTACTGCTGAAGGACTGTGGATTCACTGAGCGTCACAAGCTGCAAGACCACTTTGGGAGTGATCAGTATCTTGTAAAAACCAACGATGCAAAGGAATTTTATGTGATAGTGCCGGTTACAGGAGGTCCTGAGAGATGGGTTAACCGGGAGATGCTGATTCCTGATCCTAGAGGTGCGCTACATGAGTCGGAGGATCCATTAGAATGTCTTCCGCGTATTGTAGATGAGCAGAACAACAATGTAGATGATAGTGACTCTGAAGAAGAGGGAGAATTTGTACCAACAGTCTTTCGTAATTCATCCAAGCCATTGGAAAGCCCAATAAATCAAACGGGAACAGGTCTGTTCTAAGCCACTGCGTGCCAGTGGTGCCAATCCTGTCAAACCAAGTCAGAGTAGACCTAGTCAAGCATTGCGGCACCCGGAGCGTCTTAAAAGAAAGCGCCTTAAAAGAAAGCGCTTGGGCAGCTGGCCAAAAGATGTTACTTAGGTTGAAGATAGTTTTGTCTGGAAAGCCCACTTTCCACCATTATGACCATGCAGCTTTGAAATGGCTTATTTGTGTTTTGAGGTGTAAGGTAATGGATCGAAGGCAAAGTTTGCTCGTTAATTCAGCGGGACGTGGTGTAAACCTCCTTTTTACCCGACCATTATGTACTCCATCCGCAGTTTCCATTGTTTTAAAACCAGCACGTGTATGATTGATTTAAAGACAGATTAAAAGTCAAGGTTCATTACTTGTGCGTTCGTCCTTTAGGATTGCCTGGTTGAATAGCTAGAGGCAAGATGCATGCCTGCGCAGTTAGCGACCAGGCAAAAGAAACACGCATTCATACTTGGTCACTCCTTTGTGTCTCGACTCTCCCGGGAGGCCCGGACACAGCAGCGGTCAGTTCTGGATTTTGTTGGTCTCTCTGGAAAATGCAAGCTATCCTTGGAGGGACATCCAGGTTTAACATATGATAGAGTGTTTGCAAATCCAGGTTTTCACCACCATAACTTCAAGAGGGGACCCATTGATACCTTAGTAATTGACATTGGTACGAAAGATCTTTATGATCCGAGGGTCCACATCATCAGTCCTGTTATCAAAAGTCCTAGAGTTTTTGGATGTATTGAGAACTCGAGGTGTTCGGCCTCAATCAGTGGTGTTTTTAACCGAAATCGAGAGATCCAGGGTGTCTAGGCCGGGCAGGTTGATACAAGCACATTTGATCGTCGATCACGGAGATTTAATGCATTTCTCTCTCATAAGTTGAAGAATGTTTAGGGGGTTCATTGTCATTGCCAACGTAGAATTAACCGTAGACAACACTTAGTTGATGGAATTCATCTAGATAACGAAGGGATAGAAAAATGTTGCCGAGGTGTGAAGGAAGCAGTCCTTGGACATTTAAATTGATTAACCCAGTATTGTTCAAGGCTTTGTTGACCTTAAATGGGTCCTTGAAGTTATGTGGTGTCAAGAGATCTCCCCTCTAGTCTTTTATTTTGACTCGAAAAGTGTTCTTGTGTGTATGTATATTAATCCAGTAGTTGGTGTTGTTACCATCGTCCACGAGTGTATTTGTTGCAGGACGTTTTCTGTCTTGCTATGATTAATGCACAAATGATGCTTCACAGTGGTTCACAGAGTATTGTAAATTGTCTTACGCCGCTTCGTGCAGGAGGATGTATCTAGCGTGAAACTGGGACGAAAGGACCCTATTCAGCTGTAACCTGATTAACAATTTGCATAGTCTTTTAGATGGCTTGTTGTTTATCTTTGCTTAAAACACTAATCTGCTGAGAGCTGTTGCTCTGTGTTCAAAAGGAACATTTTCTAGTTTCATTGTTATTTAGAGTTGTCCACTTGTTGAAGTGTCGGAATAAGAGTGATAACACTGCTGCTTGTCCCGGACATGACCTGTGAGCACATTTGGAATTATGTGATCCTCGATGCAACCCTGGTCAGTAATATGTTGACTGATATGGGGATACAACTAACATCCACACGGGGCGTGTGGATTTAAAGCAGGGAAGCTGTGGGGATCCTCATTTTGCGTTTTAATTACTCTCGGTGTTGAGACTGAGAGGGCGCTCTTTCAAACTTGCCTCTTCTCGATCCTTTCCACCGGGAGTGCTGCCCGAAGCGTTTCGGTAATTTACTCTTTCTTTTACCCTTTTCAGATATGATTACTGATACAAGCGGTAAATTATCACCGTTTTGAATGATTAGAGAATCGGCTGGGATTGAAGATTACCATTAATTTGAATAGGTTGGTCGGGTTTTGGATCGAACTTTTCCGTTTCATTCACAATGCTTCTTTGGGTTCCTGTGAGCGAGAACTTTCTACGTAGCTTATGTGTGTGCATTACGTACATGTGAAAGACATTATTGTGTGTACTTGCGGGCTTATGGAAAGTTCCAGTGACCTTTGGGTCGCGTCCATGTGCGTGCTTGGTGAACGCTGATTTTGGTAGTGCACGCTACTTTTCAGTAATTTTATTATCATTTGCAAAGCATGGTTGTAGATTTTATATTGAAATATCGTATGTTTTTCCAAGTTTATGTTATTGTGTATACTGGGTTACCATTTAGTCAGCCCAGTGCAGTGGGCCCCACCGCACTTACCTATAACTGCAACCCCGTGAGTGTTGGGCGAGTTGAGGTACTAATTATTCAAATACTAATGTACTCCATAAAATATTAAATACACATGTAATTTTATGCTTTGTAAATTCTCTCTATTCATTTAATGTCAATGTCATGAATTGTTTTTCAGTGGTATATTTTAATAGGGAACACGAAAAGAAATAAATCAAGATCAGGAGTTCTGTTTCGTTCCTTATTTATTTCCCGGAATTCTCTTACCGGAGGACACAGGTCCTCCACCCTGAAAGGGACTATACAGCTCCTTCCCCAAAGGATGCTGCTACCTGGCGTTGCCCACAAGCTTCCAAGCTTACACTTACCAATGAATTTTAAACTGCGAATTATATGTCGGACTTTCAAGGTTAAAGAATTGCCAATTACTCAGTAATGCACAGTATACGTTGTATAATCTGTCGTGTTCCCCAAATGTTATTTTGACGAAAACTGATTTAGAGTACATCCACAGAAAATCCCTTATATACAGCGTATTATGTCAAGATAAAAAAAGAAAAAAAAAGAGAAAACACAACAGAACAAAAAACACCCCCACCCCCCAAAAAACCCCGAAAAACAATTTCTAAGAGAAAGTTTTTTTTTTACTTTTGCTCGGCTGGTGCTGGTGTTTTAACGACTCACTAAATTTGGTGACCCAAGTCGAGTAGAGACATTTTAACATTGTGACTCGAGTCGAGAAACTAGGTCAAGAAGTTAAGCTGAGTGGAGTCACTTTGTGTAGTCGAGTCAAATACTCAGCTCGAGTCAATATGAGTCACAAATTGTAATAAAACACTATATGTAAGTCATATTTTTGGTACTGTTATTTTCATTTAGACATACTAAAAATGAACTAGGGTGACAGGTATCTAGCAACCTAAAATTTTGCTTACATTTTTTGAGACTCGATTCTTACAAGCTTGTACTAGATTCGGGTATCCCTAAGAGAGTCGAGTCGAGTCGCCAAAAAATGTGACTCGAGTTGGACTCGAGTGGAGTCGAGTCATTGACTCGAGTCACTACAACTCTGGCTACTGCGGAGATTTCCTTCTGTCATTTTTTTTTAATTCCAACCGGGCACAGAGTTTGTAAAGGCAGTGATGACTTTCGTGAAAACCATGATTTAATCGTTTTTGACCGGTCATAACAAATAGTTGTCATAACGCAGACCCTACACCATTGAACGTCCTACATGGATGTGTGTTCATTGCACACTTAATCATGACAGTCTCAGCACAGTCACTGATTCCTGTTTGTCAGGAGCACGTAGAGTTTTTGAATTTTCTCAGCGCGGGGGCGTGTGCCCAAAATGTCGCAGAAATCACATGATCTGATTGTTCTACCAACTGCCTCGCATGACCTGATCGAACTCCCGTGACTTTTCCTAAACTTTTCCCCACCTAACTATTGAGAGGGGTGTCTATCTTGGTATCGCCCTGGCAGTGACTGAAACGGGGGGGGGGGTGTTCCATATCCGTTCCCATATGCTTGTGCACAAAATATTGCTATATTATGATAATGCACTCAATACCTACTCCCCTCTAAAAAACTCCTTCCCCCTTTGGAAAATGCATCCGGCCAATGTCTGGGATGCTTGCCAATGTGTCCGGAAGCTTGTGGTAGGCGCCAGCGCCATAAACAGATAGTGTGTTGACCTGGAGTCCTGGATGATAAGATTGTAGCTTAGTAGTAGCTGTAGTGCTATAAAGGCCCTGAATGAGGTTATCACGGTGATTCAAGCATGTACAGCGGGAATTTCCCGTGTATTTTTGGTATCGCCGATGTATTTCCGTATTGTATAATTCTGCGCCCCCCACTGCAGACCACGCCCCCAAAAGGACACTTCCGCCACAAACATACTGAGAAGTCTTCCTAGGAAGGTTTCCATCTGATTTATACTGAAGAACACTAAAAAAGACATTGAATAGGGATCGCTTTATCCACAAATAAATCTGAAACAATTTGGGCAGAAGGTGCTGCATTGGCCGTTGCAATGGACACGGTCCGTCGCAGTTGTCTCAGGTAGCAAACGGTTTGCCTAATAAAAGGCCCACATAGACTTTTAATTTGCCTAGCAGTCCTATAACAGCTTCTGTTGCAACTGCACATAAAACCTGCATACACTTTACGCTTTTAATCACATCATAGAAGAAGGGTACTTGACATTCATTCCTACACAAAGATTGTAAGAAATATTAGGCAAGGCACAAGATATATTGCAGTAACTTCAACGGTTAGAAAATATATTAAAACATTAAAAAGACCAAAAGATATGGCGAAAAAGTGTTTGCATTTAGGAAAAAGGTATCAGTATTCAAGGGCCATGTGAAACTCGTTTCGTGACCAAAGTTTCTTGCATTTCTTTTACGGGGCTACCTTAAGGTTTTACCTCTTTTTACAGGGTACATGGGCTCATCATCATGAAGACCTTTCTTCGTCACGGTCACATCCTTCGAATCCTCCTGACAATCACTGCGATGGTCTCTATCAAACAAGCAGATGCAGGTTTGTTCACATTTCATGAAGTTTATACTGTAAACACAGTAATTATGTATTTAGACAGTGCATGGTCGAAGAAGAAATAAAAAGAACAAAAAAAGAACAGCGCATTATTAAAGACAAAAATAATTTTCTCAGTTGGCTAGCAATACAAAGCTGTGTAAATAGTGGCATCGAGATTTCAATAAAATGTACAATGATGTTTTTAAAAGCTTCTGCACGAAAAAAAATTCAAAATTTGCCCCTCGATATGGTTCGCGGGTCCGTCTTGGTAGAACGAATCCTGAAGGCGACGATCTGTGAAATACTACACACTCATGCAGAACCTTAATGTATTTATGTTATTTAACCTTCTCCTTTTTGAGATCTGTCGTAATACTTTTGGGTTGTTTGGAAGTCCAAAAATTCTTCACAATCCTCCTTAATTTTTTACTCACCATGAAAACGTGGGATGGGGGACGATTTGGCAGACCATCCCCTGGTGACTTAATGGGGGGATACATGTATGCACCTCAATATCTCAAGATTTTACGCCCGTGGGCTGAGTGAGGTGACCCAGACAAGTAATTGATGATGGCGTTTGAGGCTGACTGTTTGGGGTCGCGCCATGGAGAGGGAGAGCATATTTCCTTTAATAATAATAACATTTCTTTTTTAAGCCCGTTACATTGAAATGAAACAGATCTGAACAAGCTATAAATTAATGAAAATTATTTAAGACTAAACCTAGCCATTGGAAAATTAAAATTACTTAAAATTGTGCAGTGAATAGCTAAAAGTTTTTATCAAACAATGTATGCTTGGATTTACAATACATTTCATAAAAAGGTTCACAAACTGCAAATAGTATAAAAAATTAGACATACAAATTCATTCTTAAAATTGTGAGCGCTTACCAGTATAAAATAATGGGAAGCAAGGGGAGGTATCAAGCAAACAAGTACAATTATGAGTAGGCTACTCATGAGCGGGCTGTTCAGAGAGGGGGAGGGGTTTATTTCAGAGCCGAAGTGCGGCACCTGAAAAAGCCTGCTTCCCGTAGGACTCCTGCCTGTAACTGGCCTCATCTAGCCCTGTTTCTATTGACAATCCAGTTTCTTTGGCAACGAGGGATAGCAAAGGTGCCTGATCGTGAAGTGTCTTGTAGCCTTAACCATGGCTAAACATCTTGAATTCGATTCGCTGTGCGACAGGGAGCCAGTGAAAAGAATAAAGAGCAGAGTTAAATTTGAAGGCTTACGAGGCCGACATGCCAAGCTTAATTAGGTGATAAGGTGCCTGAATAAAGAGGCAATTTCTTGGCTTCATTTGTTGCTTTCAGGTGACTTTATGCTTGTGGTGTCCTCCCAGAATAACACCATTTACGCGGGAAGCATGGCGAAGCAACTTGCTGATTTGTACAGCCTGCCCCTCAAAGGGGTCATAGGACCTGAGGCAGTTGACTACGATGCCACGGAGAAAATGGTGTACTGGACTCAGTATGACGGGACAGTCGGCAAACTCTCCAGGGCACATCTCAATGGAAGCAACCAAATGACAGTCCTTGATGATCGCATTCGACGTAAGAAGTTATTTAGTCGTCGGAACGTGCATCCACCAGGCGGCCATTCAATGGTGGATACAGTTTTCATCTATAAGTCGTCCAATGTGCACAAAATCCAAACCGAATCGAGAATGTTGTCGGGAATCTAGTTTCTAGTTCTTTTTCCTTCTTTATCCATACAACAGGCTTGAGCAGAGATTCCTTGTCAACGTTGTGTTTCATCTGTGAAAAATGCCTCATTTATTATTATTGAACATTGGTAGTTGGTTTTTCTTTCACCTAGAAATTTATCAGCTAATGCCTTCTTCGTCATATTTGATAAAAGAAACTCGGTTTTTGGTAGCCCTATGTTTAGTGAATACTGCCTAAAACCTGTAGTCATAGAAACCTTCAGTCATGGTAAGAAAATAAAAAAAGGAAACTTCCTTTGATGATCTTCTTAATTGCAGTACTAGCTGCAGTTTCCTCCCAACCTCATGTATAGATGCATTTGGATTGGCTCTGGATGTGGAAGCAGGGCTGGTATATTGGACTGATGAATCTCTTGGACAAGTCGGACGAGTCCGTATGGATGGCACCGGGACAAAAGAGACGATTATCGAAAACCTTGACAGGCCTCGGGGCATCGCCATTGATCACAGTCGAGGGTGAGTAAATACCCACCGATGTGGCTGTGGTCGTATCACTCCCGCGCACTTTAGGCCTAAGGCAGTGTGTAGTGTTTGAAACATCTTAGAAACGGGACTGTCAAATTATCGTCAAATAGAGTCAGACAATCTGTGAATTCTTTCCACCCGAAATGCCGTCATTTTCGAGAAAAGAGAAATTTTATATTTTTCTCAAACGATCGTTCGTATACGGACGATCTTAAGAAAATACAATTTGTTCGAATGCTGTAATCGTTAACAAGTAACAACAGAAATGCACGTGATGCGTGTAGCTGTTGGTGGAATCTATATACACTGAAAAATTGCTTGAGTTAAATTTAACCCAAGCGAGGGTAACTGCGACTACCCAATAGTTTAGGTTCTTTCAACCCATTTTGGGTGATTGAATTTAATTTCTTGGTTGTTTTAACCAAACAACGTAAACGGTTAATATCCACTCATTGTGTGAGTGAAAACTGAAACAGAAAGTAGTTTATTAAATGATGACATGTGAGCATGTATAATATTATAAGCTTTCGAAACTCCTATCTATCAGTTTTAATGAGGAATGTACTCAACTTCAGCGATATTTCCCGATTAAGTCCACTTCGAAGATCAGCCGACAGCCTACATTTTTCACGTTTTGCCTCCGTTCACACAAATATCCCGGAAAAAACATTTTAAATAACTTAAAATTGACGAAGATTGTTCTTTTAAAAAAGAAATTCCGAGGTAAAATTGTCAAGGAATTTACTTGTCTCTTAACTTGCTGCTTGAACGAAACTCCAAGGCTGAGAGGACTGGGAGCAAGTATATATAGTCATGTGACTGAGCGTTAGCTTGGCAACACGAGTTGGTACTAGTGTACACTCTTCTGACTGTATTAGCAATGGAAGAGCACTTTACAAACTGAAGATGAGATAAGATCTAACACATTCCAAGACAGTGCACACATCGTCGAAATTACTTATTTTTCTCCCAGATACATTTACTGGACGGACGTGGGGAACAATCCTCGAATCGAGAGAGCAAACCTAGACGGAACAAACAGAACTACCTTGATTGACGACAATCTTGTGTGGCCCAAGGCTGTAATCATTGAAGGTAAATGTTTCATACCAATCAAGTTTACAAAAAAATATACATGCAGTCAGCGATAACACCCTTGCTTTTCGCGATTGCCGATATACTGAAAACCCTTTCTTGTTAAAGACTACCATCTTGGACAAATCTCGTTAGAACTTGCCTCCCCCTCATCACCCCAATATTGTTTCTCATTGGGTAAGCTGAGCCGAGTCTTGGTCCACTAAATGACCGCTACATTGAATGGGGGAGAGGGCGATCTTTTCACTGCGCTTCCCACAAGGTGTTCCAAATATTTTGTCCAGGATTGTCTGAGTTTGCCGCGTTGCTGTTTTGAGTGCTGCCGCAGCGATATTTATTAAATTATTATCATTATTAATTAAAAGGTTTATTAAAATCGTTTCATCGCAGCCAGAGGCAGAATTGCGAATTCGATTTACATGAAATATAAAATCACATAAGTTACAAATCGTGTTTAAAAATGTTAAATAATATACACACCAAAATAAAGTCAATCTGTACACATCAAAAAATTAAGCGCAGAAAAAACAAAACCAGAAACCCTTATTCAGTAGCCTACATGTACAAAAACAAATACAAAACACACAATTTACATGAATTTGACACACTGAAAAACCAACCACCCCAGCGATCTATAAACCAACTGACCGACAAACAAACCAACCAACCAACCAACCAACCAACCAACCAACCAACCAACCAACCAACCAACACACCAGAACAATCTGATACCCCGACCCGCCAAAAAAGACGAATGTTGTGGCTGATAATCTAATATGAACAAAAACTATTTCTTATTCAGAATCGAAGTTAAAAGGGATTGAACTACACTTGTAACGGTTGGTCCTGCATCTGATGAAGTTAATTTGTTGGTATTTCTAAAGCTATTATTCCTAAAAGGGGGCAGCCACTCTCTATGAGTCTTCGACTCGAGGAGTGATTTTCCTAAGTTCAAGGAAAGTGATTCAAGTCTAACAAAACAGGAATGTTGTACAATTGACAAATAACACTATAAGAATGTACTTCGCAACAGCTAGCAGAACAGATTATTTGTATGGAGCAGGAGCCATATGCAGCAAGGTATGAGACGGAGAGAACTCCCCTTCTTTGTGTTGGTCATTGTCTCGCAGGAATCTGGGGAATTCCTTTCAGACATCTTGGGGGACGTGTTAAGTAATAATAGTCTGGAATGTGTATAGGGATCGGACATGTTGGGGGGGGTACCCCTCGGTCTCATTTCTTGCTGGGTATAGCAGGAGCTCGACCACTTGGTGCCGTCGATGCTCCATACTGTAACTGTTTTTCTTAGCAACTTTGGGCGTGCCATACTGCAGTTTCAAAAGTTCACGATGTATAACATTAACGGGCCGCCGTCAATCTGACTGTGTACGTGTAGCGACTGCCTGCATATAGCCGCAGATAGCTCCACATTCCTGCAAGATTATCTATCCTTGCTCTGTGCTCCGATGGTGATTGTAAGCCAAGAAGAATAGGCCTACTCCAATTTCTGCAGTTCTTTACCACCCATTGGTTGCACAGTGGTAAGCGTGTGTTACCTTGGTTCATGTATACATATGCAGCAAGGTATGAGACGGAGAGAAACCCCCCCCCCTGCTTTGTGTTGGTCATTGTCTCGCAGGAATCTAGGGAACTCATTTCAGAAATCTTGGGGGGATGTGTTAAGTAACAANGGGGGGGTTACCCCTCGGTCTCATTTCTTGCTGGGTATACATGTATAACACATGTGGGACCTTCATGTACTTGTAGCCTCACTGTTATGTACTGTATACTATGTGCATCTAGAAGGTTTTATAAACGCAATGTACTTTACGTTAGCCACATGATAGACGATCCAATGTCTATTGTATCGCAGATTAACTCACCTCTTCATCATTACTTACTAATGTTATGTATGTGGGCACAGATTATTGATGACAAGCAGCTTGGATGGAATTAGTAATGATTTGTTTCCGAGTCGGCCAATCTTACGGGTTTGCGATTGGGACCATTCACATGTATATTGTATCTTCTAAATCTTGTATCGTGTAAATCGCCCGTAATACATCTCCCTCTTGCAGGTTCTAACCTGTTCTGGTGTGACGGATACCTAGACAAAATCGAGCGGACCAATCTCAGCGGCAGCAACCGCAGCATTCTGATAAACCTCGCCCGATATAAACCCGTTCATCCCCACGATCTGGCGATATACAAGGACTACTTATACTGGAGTGATCAAGTTAAAGAAGGTGTGGTGCGTGTCCACTTGAATGGAAGAGGGGAGCAACGTTTTGGCCAGCAGCTCATCAAAGGGATACGGCGAATTCACATACAACTAGGTTTGTATTAACAAAAGTTCTTGAATCCATGACCGTATAATGTTAGTGTTTGCCACGAGAGGGTATCCATGCATGTTCCGTTATGGATACCCGTTTGTCACTTTCTATTCCTGTATGTTTTAACAAGAATCTTCGCGCGTAAATATGCGCAACTTTTACGCATACGGGCCAAGACGTGCACGGAAACGAGACGTACACTGAACAGCCACCTTAATTTGGTCACGGAAGACCTATGAGATGTGTGTGTATGCCTTATACTTAAGTTGACTTGGTCGGGCAGGCAAAGAAAATTACAAGTCGGTGCTGCAATGCTCTTCGTGTTATTACTGAATCCCCTCAGTATCGGGTATGGCTAGCTGCTCACCCTTCCATGTCCCCGGATCACAGGTTCTTTTCTGATACTGTTGATCATATATCGTCCCAAAAGCTTTGAAGACTGAGCCAAATGACTCGCATGGATTTGCAGCAAATCAAAAATGAATTTTCTCGGAGAGAATTTGTCTGATTTGTCTGAAGGTCACCCTTCCTTCCTAAAATCGAAAATTGTGTGAGAACCCGACATCAGAGGTTAATGCCATATCAGCTAAAAAGGGGTGTGCTCTTCATGGCGGTAATCTGAAATTAGAACGAAATGTTTTTGTCATAGTTTCTTTTGTAAAGATGTATTTTCCCCAAGTTGTTTTCACTTTTCAAGGTAGACAATCGGGAAGAAAAGTCCTTGCACCTTAAGCCTATGTATTTAATGCTTAAGTCTTTACAGTGAGCATAAAATTTGTCATGTATTTCACAATACATCACATAAAACGGTGATTGTTGGAAAAAATCTCTAATCGCGAACGAAAGTTACACTCTTCGAAAGTGTGTATACTTCATGGCACTACTTGATTTTCCTAAATATGAAAGAATCTGATTTACTAAAAATACTTTGCTGGAAATAAAAGGAGCCGTATAGCTCCATTTATACGGAAAAAAGTTCTTTGCTTTGGAGGAGCCTCAGCGGCACAGGGGACGTACGGGGTGCTGCTGAACTGTATTAATCACAGCGATGTATTTTATCGTTCAATTATGGCTTGTATTATAAATAGAGCTGCGTTATATCTCGGTACACCGTGGGTATTATTAAACTTCTTACGCACTGTGGAACTGCAAGGGGTAAATATTTCACCTTAACGGGAAATGATACATAGGACCCGCGGCCCGGGCGCAGCTCTTGAGCCGTTTTTAAGGGGGGGGGGGTCAGTCCCCTCTCACGGGACCTCACGGTTTCATATTCGCTTCATTTTTTGCATGTGGGGGATACGCAAAAGTTAGGGGGTAAAAGCTCCCCTCTTAACCCCTGTGCCTGCCCTGGGACCTAAAGTAAAGTTAGTTATGTCTGGATTCTTGTTGTGACGGGGTCGTGGCTTGGAGTCCATCACTCCCTAAAAGTGATCGGATGCTGACAAAACTTGGATCGTCTACTCCAGAGGATGATTTTATTATCAGAGAGCCTATGCAAAAACAAAACCCTGTAGAAGGAGACCCTGAAATTACAATAGTAATTACTCATCTCTATACACTGGGCTCTTAAATAAAAGGCTGATTAAATTTATGTAAATAAGTGAAAATAATGTTTTACAGAAGTGAATAATTGGAATATTGCAATCAGCAGAGACATAAGAGAATAACTTTAATCTTACCCCGATGCAGATAAGAATATAATGTCTTACAAATGAGTGCTCCCCTCTTCTATGTGAGTCCTCCCAGAATCGGCTACAATACGAACAAACAAGCCACATACTGCATATCACTATACACACATAAGGATGGTGCATTGATCCTCATAACACGCAAGGTGCTGTACGTGACAAACTTGAGTGCATGGAGCTTGTAGTTAAATATACGTATACGACGACAATGCCATACAATGCCAACATAATGCGTATGTGTACATGTTCGTACTATACAAGTACATGCAATAACAGAAAAGTTGCGTACAGTTCGGAAGGTCACGTAAAAGTTGCGCACTAAGCACTCTAGAATTACTTAAAATCAACGATAAAAACCCAAAGCGGCATTCACTATGACCATTAAGGAATCGATTCATATATATATCTTTAGTTGGGCTTACCAGAATAAGTGTCAAAATGGAATATAAATTCGGACAGCCGACAGTCCAGCCAGTGGTTCATGCGTACAAGCAAGAGACCGCGGACCGCGGTGGGCAAGCAGGAGCGAACCCATGCGCTCGCTGTTCCATCCTTCATTGCAACCCCCCATGATTCGTAATTACCAACAAAATAATATTTGTAATATTATGATAGATTATTATAAGAAACAGGGATTGATATAAATGACAATTGTACCAATTATATCCCATGAGGCTTGGCACTTATACAAGGAGTATTTAGGTCTGTTTGTGAACGGAAAATTACAACTTAAAGGTGGAGGTAGGTACATGACTGGATGGATCATGAATAACAAATCAGGCCCACATTAATAATCTATAACCCATACATTCGTTAGATATACGCACATTAAAAAGTACACATCCCTACATTGTCTTTCAGGATAACTCGACCGTCTTTATTTCCCGCAGAGCCCGACTTCTGTGAAAAAACTCTCCTTGTCTCAGTGGAGGGACCTGCGAGGATGTTGTAAACGGGTTTGTGTGTCACTGTGCCCCTGGTTTCTATGGAGTGACATGCTCTGAAAGTAAGATTTTACATGTAAACACCGTGTCGCTGTAGCTGGCAGGTGCAATTAAGCGTGCAACCGACAGTACGCCTTAGTCATGTAGAGCTATACAGTACAAAAGACTATGCCCATGCAGAAATTTGTATTCACGATTGAACTTGCCTCTGATTTTACTCAATTTTGTGGGAGCCATTATTATGTCGAGATGTCAGGAGAAGATTCAAAACAACACTACAGGAACTCAAGACTAGAGCTGCGCCTGATGTTGAAAGTTGATTTGGGATGAGACATCAAAATAATTACAGAGTCGTAGGAAGATTCCGAAACACGATTTATTCTATTAAACCAGATCCTTGCAGTAGTTCACCGTGTCTTAATGGCGGAACCTGCTCCATTTCGTCGGACGCATTCGCCTGTCAATGTCCGGCACCGTTCGAAGGACAAACGTGTGCGCTAGGTAAAAATTAAATAATTTATTACAATAACTACACTGAATGTACCTGGCTTTGGCAAATGTGAATTTCAGTATAGCCATCAGATGTTCTGTTATCTTGTGCAATTGAATATTTGTAAGTTTGGTTCCTATATCTCTTGTTTTACCGGGGCAGATCTTTCGGACTGCACCAATTCTGTTAAAAATGACAGAGTGTTTACTTAATTATTAACCGACAATATTTTGCAGTAATTTCCATTCTGCATAAATTTTCTTCAGTCAATAATCTATTGTTAGTTATTTGTAAAATGAATTAAATTCCTTGACATATTTACCTCTGTCTTCTTCATTTTTCGAATACCTTCGGGGAGGAAAGTAAGTCTACTGCGGGAGATCTTTAAATATGGGCAATTCACAATAGTGCGCCTCCAAGAGTTTGCAACGCGTTGGCCAATCACATTGCCAGAAATCTGTTGACTCAGTGCGCTTTTGAAAATGGTCGACAGATTTCGCGAGTTGTGATTGGCCAAAGTGTTGCAAACTCTTGAAGGAGCACTATTGTGAATCGCCGGTATTGTCAAGCTTGAGAACACAAATTTTTGTTCCCACTAAAACTTGGAATCCTTTGTAATTTATACCAGATCCTTGCAGTAATTCACCGTGTGTAAACGGCGGAACCTGCTCCATTTCGTCGGACGGATTCACCTGTAAATGTCTGGCAACGTTCAAAGGACAAACGTGTGCGCAAGGTAGAAATTTAAATACTTCTATTACTATTTTCTACAGTTTGGGACACGTGCATGTTTTTGTAGTAAGATATTTTGATCACTTGTGTAACTGAATATTTGTAAATTCTGTGCCTTATTGGATTTAGCCGGGCATATTTCTGAAACTGAACCGGCTAAGTTGTAACCGGCCGAGCTCTTGCATTAGTAAGCAAAAAGATATTGCAGTAGTCTTGAGTTGAATTAAAGTTTCCTTTAATTAATATTTCCTTGATAGTTTGCACGCAAACAAACCTCATGATTGGTTAATCCCCGTTTTCTTCATTCACTGTGTCCGGATATGTTGGGAGAAAAATGGCTGTAGAGGTTCTACATGTATTCATGAGAGAAAAACCTGTTCTCTGGATCATTTGCCAGCTTTTTTGCTTCTACCAGATCCTTGCTATACAGTTCACCCTATGGCTAAACGTCTGCCGTTGCGCGGGGTTATTTACTTTCTAGGGTCTGCCTTCGCGTAAGGCTGTAAGTCATGAGGAGGATTAGGATATATCCCCGATTTCTGGGGGGGGGTAGGTAAACGATCACCTCCGACATTTTTGGTCTAACCGAAAATATGAATATTAGGCCCCCTATCACCATGTAAATAAAGAGACAAAAGTAGGGAAAGCTACCTAAATAATAAATCAGTTTATGATTTATTATTGGTTTCCTAGAATATGAATGGAAAGAGGACAGGATTTAATTACCGTGCTAATTTTGGTCTCCTTTCCTCAATATTTTCGACGACTTTTCAACAACCTGAATTACTTTCGGCAACTTCAGTCAGTTCGATTTAGGCAGCCAAGCATACCATACACTCATACATCATGTATTAGGGCCATTTGACACAAGGTTCACTGCAGTATGGGAAAATGTGTCACTTTATATAATGCTTGAGGACGATATTAGGGAATTTCACTGCAGTTCTTGATAATAATAATAACATTCGAAAACGTCCAGAACGACGTTTAAGGGCAGTAGAGTACCCCCCTCGAGGTGGCGCCCTTTTGTCTCTTTTTTTTTCTTGCATTGGACATAAACGATACTCACTTGCCTTGGGTGGCCCCCTTGTCTCTGACTTTCATTTGAGCTTGTGAGTTCGTATACTTTTTGGTTCTCGTTTCTTCTGTGCAAAAATATACATTGTTGGCACCCACGGTATCGTTTTATACAGAGTGTAATGTAACACTATATCTGCAGAACTTCCACTTTTGCGAGGGAGGTGCTGGGTGCGATGATTGTATTATTTTCTTTTATAGTCTATATTCAGTAGTGCTCGTGACGTCGCTTGTCTTTTACATAATTAATGTACTGAATTTCTCAGCCTTTGGCTCGTTAATTCCATCATTATCCGTCTCATCATCGACACATGGGAACGCCATCCACAAGTAGCACCCTAATGGTTACATGGTCCAGCATTTCCTTACCGTCCAAAGTCATCCGTCAACCCCACCCCCAGCACTCAATAACATATATTTACGCCACTGATCCGTACAAAGGACACACCTATGCACATGTAAAATTATAGGAAGTAACCTTTTCTTTTCAAAATCTCACACGGGTTGCAGGTGTCACTTACCGAATGTGGTATCCAGCCTCTGTTAGTTTATTAGATATAGATTATTGGAAGTCAAAGATATGCCATGCACCTAAAGCTGCATAATTTTGTTTAAAATTCGCTCGACAAGAGCATGCTACCATCTGTCAAAAAGGTATGTTCTCTATTCACTTTTTACTGGTGTTGGGCTATTTGTTCCCAGGATAAAAATCTACCGAGAAATAAGGTGAGACCAAGGTATATGTGAAGTCTGTGACAAAGCTTTTAAGGGCTTATGCTTAGAAAACCTTTTTGGCACTTTTTTTTCTAGAAGAGGAATCCACATCGGTTGTGCCAATAGTTGCAGGTGTGGGGGGAGCCGTAGTTGTCTTGTTGATCATTGTGATCGTCGTCCTCAAGAGGTAGGTTTGTTCAAACGGATTCATTGTTACTAATCAAATCAAAGGTTAAGCAAGAAGTATTACATGCCCAAAACTACGTGAATACACGATTGAGCAAACCAGTAGCCATTTTCAAGCGTAACATTTAAAATTAAACACTCGGTGATGGCATATTTTTGGACATTGTTCAGGCGAGCTTAGTTACATAAATAAGATCACTTCTTGTGTGATCTTACCTTTTCTCCTCTGCAGAAGGAAGAAGCCGCACACAAGAGGAAGTTATTGAAGATCCGACCTACATGTATGTTTACTCATCCGACCTGCCTCAGGAGTATTCCTGGTGTCCCAGACGAGTCAACAACCAGGGTTTTGTGTCTAACCACTTGGCACAGCGAAGAGCCAGAGCAGAGGCAGATCTCCCCAATCTACCAGACTACACTAAATTGAATAGCTAGAGTGAAAACCCAGTTTGGTATTGCAACTGCGAATGCACACTTTGATGTTCAGTCTTTTCTGTTGGTATGATTCTGCATGCTTTGGTGGACAACTACGACAACGACACGACAGACTACACAACAGCGACAATTAGTGGTTGGAATACAGAAAGACTTTTTGTACACGATTTACCTTGTCTCTAGTCAAAAACGAATACACCTACACTTCCACATTATGTTAAATCGTTTCAGTTTCTGTTAAAAAAAGCCTTTTAAAGTTGACTTTTAATTTTCAAGTATCGAGTACTGCGTCTTTTTTATAACCAGTACTAAGAAGTGGTAGGAAGAATTTATCCGTCAGTTTCGACTTACACCTAAAGACCACAGAAAGTCATGTCACAAATTAATTTCCAGAACAATGTTTTCTGATCAATTTTTTGGGGGGGGGTTAGGAGAGGTGCATTGAAGTAGTGTAGTGGATTTGATCAAGTCACTCTTTAATGACCTCTCAAAAAGCTAACACTAAATTAATTATTGGGAGCTTTTATGCTTATAGTTGAAAAGCGATCATTGGCATGGGCACCGTAGCCCCCTCCCCGGACCTGCCAATATAACTGTTTTGCGAATTAGTGTGAAATGTAGTACTTCAGAACAGTAACCATCAATCATTCTGTGCAAGACTGATGACAGTACTCGTAACATGTTTGCTCCGGTCTCGGAGTAACCCGCCCCCTTCAATAATTCTTCGCCGCACAGGTTTAGCAGTACTGTAGCCGAGTCCACCACGAGTCCACCACTAGTCATCCAGTCTTATCACAAGTCACAAGCTCTTCAAAATGAAGAGTGAGAAAAGCATTCCGTTATCGTCGTTTACCAGTGTTGACCTTTCCAGCAAAGAGAAAGGAAATGTGGTTTGAATTGTGAATGGACTTGTGATGGGCTCGATAAAAGCACAGAGGTCAAGGGCTGAGAATATAAGATGTCACTTTGGCGCCGACAGTTGAACTATTAAAATGGAGCACAAATTAGGCCTTGAACATTATTTTGGACACAGTCGCCTTTTGCACGCATGTGCAAACGACGACTGTGTCCAAACGCCTTATAGCCGGCATCTTTCGCAAATGTCTTTCAAAAACAGATGCCGTAGATGTATACTGATAAAACTACGCTTACACCCTTGAAGCCTTTCTAAGATAACGCTGACTCTATGTTGGTCTGTTTAAGGTACCAGGATGGGCCCCAATTACGACTAGTTTCTGCAACTGATGGCTGTCACATGCATTTTATGTCTACCCAAGTAAAGATTTCTGATCCAATATCTGAATATGCGTGTTGCGTGACTTTAGTTGTTAGATGTATTTTAGAAGTAAATTATCTTAAGGTATACATTTATCCAAGTTAAAGTAATTTCTGCATAGGCCTTTGCAGGTTTAAAGGCCCGATGATGCATTTCACTGTAATTCCTGGAAAGCGAAGTGGAGATGCTTATGAACGACTATGAGACTTCATAGCTTACCAATAAATTGAATACGTAGCTTTCACTTAGCTTAATGTTTAGAGCGTCACAGAGTATAACGTGCCAACTTATTGCTGCTTACTCAGTTGCTGTTGTAGAGCATTTTAAAGTATAACATACAGTATACTTGTTCTTAGTAACTCATAAGTGTTGAGAGCATAATCAGATATAACAAGGTCACAGTTGATATAAATGCATCATTACAAGCTTGTCTCCAACTCGTCTGATTTTAACGGTTTACACGTACTTGTTCTGTATATTACGGTATGTATTAACGTGACCTTTTTTGCCTTTCATTGCAATGTAATGTAACAATGTGATGGTGTTATCGGTGCGATTATTAATCCTGATAAAGATTCACTGAGATTGGGGACCATGTTGAAATATGTAAGGAGTAAAGAGTGAGTGTTGAGCTTTAAATTTGTTTGATTGCTTGTTTGGACAAAAATGTGTTCAAGGGGACTGTCAAATACGCAGATTATAGGCAACCCTTCAGATATTTGAGGAGAAAGAGAAAATCGAAGCCAGCTGAGCCGAAAAGGGGTAAACTTCTCTTTCACAAAGTTCCTATAACTATGGAGTATAATGCAATAAAATACTTAGATTAATGCGCTAGTATCAAAGATTTATTGATTAACGGTGTCATTATTGCAAGCGCATACCAATTTCTATTGTACAATTTGTATTGTGGTTCAATCCTGTCATAAAAATGTATCAAGAATGGTCAGTGCATTAATGTGCTGATTTTATTAACATTTAAAAATGCATATAGGCTCTCAACAGTGCATGCCACCAACAAGCACTTCTGGTCGGTATAAATTTCTGAAAAATTTCTGTTTCAATAAAATGCTACTTGCGTTGATACGGTTTTATCAATCACATTGGCCGTTGGCCAGTTATCATTCTGACGTGCCTAACTGTTTCTTTCGGGATTCAAAGATGGACGATCAATAATACATCAGCTATATGCACAATGTGGCCTTGTGAGTAGAGATCATTGCAGTGATTAGGAGATCATCGCAGTGATTAGGAAATCATTGCAGTGATTAGGAAGGGCTTTCGGAATAGTTGTTTACATTAGCTGCTTTTTCATTTTGAAAACGAAATCTGGTACGTTCCTCAGTTTGAAACTTTGCGTGGTATCGTGGCTTTACAGATAATGTATAGAGTCTAAGACGTTACTACCATTTTTCAGCATTCGTGCTCAAACTACTAGATACTTTCAGGTGATAAGTCAATTTGAAGTAAGACTATCCTTTATCAGGTTCCTATCTTCGCTTGGCGATCCGAAGGATATTGGTACTGCGCAGTTGCCGAGATAACAAGTGATGCAACATTACTGCTCTTCTGTCAGCTGTTGAGTTCCTGTCAATTTTCAAGGTTGGGAATTTGCTGAACTGTCAAATCATAGTATGTTCCAAATAAAAAGTAAAAAAGAACCTGCGGCCTGACAATTTCCAGATTGAAGGCATTTTGCGAGGGAAAAGCACTTGCAGGAACATCGTATTTTTTGGATGATCGTCGCGCCGATTTTGGGGGGCTCGCCGATTTTGTTTATACCAATCTGAATAATCTGAATGACAGATGGCAGCGCTAAATTAAAGCAGAATGCGAGTATAAAACACGTGTTTGATTCACCATTTTGTTTTCCTGCTATCACTGACACTTGCAATGCTTGCCGCCTTCAGATGGCTCCTTCAGGGAACTAAGCTAAAGCTTCTTCGATTAAGTAAATTACTAATGTGCAGTACCAACTTCAGATGGCACTCAACATGTATGTAATCACAGGCACACACAACACTGTTTACTTGAATACTTTTCACAACCATTTCCTCATAGCTAAGGTTTTCTAGTACGCAACAGAAGCGTAACTAAATTAAGAGCATACACAAAACCCAACCCATCCTGAGTTATGGCACAAACAGCCCAACCTACTGTGGTATGACAATAGTAAAATCTTCGTAACTACAATAATGTCATAACACAACATAAATGCAGGTCCCTTAGCATCACAAAGGCTTGCCAAAACTTGAAAAAAAAATATATGTCACGTATGTGAGCATGCGCGGTTGACGCATCCACGGGTGATTTTTCTCTCGATCCCGTTGAAATCTGGCGAAATCACAACAATTGAACCTGTGTACATACAACCTGGTGTTCAGCAATCCTTTTCCTGAAGGTTATACTGACACTTTTACCGAAACATTAAAGGTAAGCAAGATTTTCTGAGTTGGGTCTGTGTTCTTGGCTCAAAGAATTCAATTCACCCAATTTCAAAACCTAAATTTTTTGTTTAGGTTTTTTTGGTTAGGGTTCGGAAAAAGGTGTGCACCTGCATGCCAAAGTATTTTGGGCTGATGACGGATGAAGGACAGAGAGGAATTTGCTCTGCCCACCATCAGGACTGAAGTGTAAAATATCACATACCTTAGAGAAATTTAATAAAGCCCATTTCAAAGCGTTTTCTTTGCGCACTATCATTTTCAGTGTTTCAGTGTATGCCACACAGGAATGTCATGTTAAGAAGCAACCTCAATATGTAAAAGTATCAGGGTTAAAAATAGGAATAGAAAAAGAAAAAGTATTACAGATGGCAGCGACAGACGTGTAGCAAAAGTTAGAGTAGCAGTATATAAGCAAGAGAAGGCTCAGGGCAGTATATAACAGCAGAAGAAGAACACGGAATAGACTGCATAGACAGCAGCAGCGGTAGAAGTTGTTGCAGTGAGAGGCGGTAGTCAGAGCAAAAGTGGAGGTTGTACATGTAATTGTCAAACAGGTGAGCAGTAGGAACAGGAACAAATATAGCAGGCAGAGCTGTCATCGAGTCAGTCACAAGTCACTGCAAGTCATCACAAGTCAGTCACAAGTCAACTCGGAAGTTACTTATAATGAACTGTGACAAAGGCATTCCTTTGCTGTTGTTCATCTCTTTAGTTCTGCACAGACTTTTGAATTGACTTATAAAATTTGTTTCATGATTTATGTTCAAAAAGCCGTATCCTCACTGAGTGATCCCCGTTCACCACTTCCCTGGTGGTATCGTATTATTGGGGCGCGCTCTTTGGTTACATGATGTTTCAGGTTTGATGGATTTTGGCTAGCGCCCTTGAACAAAGAGTATAAGATATTGACAAATGAGAAAAGCCCTTAATATAGGGCTGAATAGCTCGGTTGGTAGAGCACTGGTACAGTATTCCAGAGGTCGCAGCTTCAACTCCAGCTCCAGTCAATGTCTTCGTTCATCTTTGTAATAGTTTGTCAACATGTTGAACTTGGATGTCTTATGTTCAGCACCTAAACATGTTTTGAAAGTAATTGCAAGACTGTATAACTGTTTGAAAACAATTTTTGTGTGTTTCAACACGGCATACATGGCCTTGAGAGAAGTTAGTTAAAACGACCCTACCTGTCAAGTTAAGCGGCCCTGCCATCGATACAAATACTTGGTAAATTAAACTTGCAATTTACCGCCCTGTCCTAGATCAACTTAATCGAGTGTTGTGTGCATAGACTGAGGCGTAAAATAGTGGGAGAGGTTGTCAACAACTTTCAGTCCATAAGCATATTTCGTTGTTCAAAGTTACTGCGCGGCCCCATGTACATCACGGGTGCCTCAGAATAATACGAGAACGCCATGAGGAGAAACTGGTCACACATTATGAGCATGCACACAAAGTCAACACTTAACGGGAATTTCCCCCGAGTGTTTCGAAATCGCAATCGGGCTTATAGTCTGATGTCCAGCAAACCGCCACTGTTTTCACGATGAGACACACACATGCAGATTTTGAAGGAAAACAGGTTTTAGAAAAATCACCCGGGAAGCTTCTCCTGTTTCTAACTGCACAAATACCAATCTGGAATACGTTTATGTAGTAAAAATCCTTGAATGATTCTTTGATAAGTAAACTATTGCCAAAACAAAGAGGTTAAAGCGAAAACAGTGGAAAATTATCTGGAATCAATTAGTAAAAATGCGCGTTAGTTTGTGAAATCGAAAATCCACGTTTTCCTACTTTCTAGTGCTTCAGTTCAATGTATTTTTTCACAGGGAAAGGACACTCATGTTTACTCGTGCAGTCTGTGAATGCAACCAAGATCTGTGGTTCTTCGTGAAAACAAAATTTTACTTCACTTACTTTTTGGCCTTTCAAGTGAATACTTAAAAAACTTTAAATGAAATTACTTTAAATAAAATATATATATAATAAGTCATCTAGCATCCGTTATCAGAAAAATCTGAAAAACACAGAGATAAAATGGAAGCCTTCTACACAGCCTGTATGGGCACAAGGAGAAATGTACGCGATTGTTTCCTTGACCCTTTGCAGCATAGAGCTCGGTGTGCGGATTCTGAATTTACAAAGGACTTACTGCGCGTAAAGGTGAACTGGTTGATCCTACACGCATTTGTCGTAAAGGAAAAACGTCTTAAAAACAGCTTACATGCAACAGCCACAACAGCCTTTGTTGTTCAGAGTAGTGCAAAAGTAATAATATATCAGATATGGAACACAGTTAAATCGCCATTTAATTTCAGTCTACCAACTTCTTTTACAAGAGAACATTTTAGGCAAGGGACTTTCAAGGTTAGAGAAAATACTAATAGGCCCAATGTAAGGTAGTGTGTCGAAGTATGGGCTACACCGCCCGGCATGACGTTCAAATTTAAAACACCACTTCGATCAAAATGCATTTAAGGTATAAAAAAATCCACAGAAAATCAGCCTCAAAAAACATATTACCTAAGTGCCTAGCTAGCTCTCCATAGCTTCCTTGCTTAGGCTAAGTTGCTCAGAGGGCCACTTAACTGTACATCATGGTTTTGTTTCAGGGCACACGTGTTGAGGATCATGACGTCTTTTCGTTGCCACCTCTTCGAAATCCTTACGGTGTTTACTGTTTTTGGAGCTTTCAGACAAGCAGATGCAGGTTGGTTTCATTTTCCGTCTTATGGAGCAAAAACAACGATTCAGTAGGGCTTGGAATTATTGATCCAGTTTTCAAACATGAAAATGCATTTACAAAGATAAACTTACCCCAAAACGCGTGAAAATCAGTTAATTGAATAAAAAGAAATAGCAGTTCCCGTTCTCAGCTTGTTTTCCGTAGCGACGTTGTACCGATAGACAGGTTGTACCCAATAAGTCATGTGACCCGTAGTAGGTATAAACCCCGTATCAGCGTGTGTTTTGAGTGTTGTTTACAAGCAATAAAGCCAATTTACGGTACAGTACTCTGGGTATCAGTGCAATGACACTTGTGAAACACTTTGCTTTTAGTGGACACTGTGTTTGTTGATATTTTTAGACCCACTATAGGTGACGTTTACTTAGCGGGCGCAATCGGTTTAAAATGAGTGGTCACACCACCCACCGGGAGAAGCCATTTTGTAGTGAGTTTTACTTGAACAGTAAAGGAAGAAAACATGTTTGACTATTCCATCTTATCAATGTTATTTTATTTTACTCCATATAACAATTTTATTTTGAACAACAGTCCCTAAAACAGTGGCGTACCTATATTTTGGCCGCAAGGGGAATGTTGATTTCTAAACAATGACTCAATTTTTATTATTTGTAGGCTGTTCTAAAATGCTGACGCTTTTCAAATCCTAACACTTCCCCCAGGTATCCCTGGATACGCCAAGTACACGGATCAAACTTTCAAACTAACAGTTTTCTCTTTCCTTGGGCATCTATGGTAGGATTTATGTTGAAGTATAAAAAAATACTTGGTCTCTGGTCAGACCAAAGTTCCAGAATTGAATGAACTTTTTAAAATTTTTTATGGCTTTTTAAGACTGGAAACGCACACGGAAATGAGTGGCATATTTTATCAAAGAGCAAAGGTTAGTAGTAGCACGTCGCAAGTCATGCCGCCATTGTTGTTGATAAGCTGGCCAGGCTGCAACCTACCCGCGGTCTACTGTTTGTGTTCGACGTCAACATTAAGCAGTCGTAACGAATCTATCACCGGGTACGAGCTACCCACGAATTAGTCTGGGTCCATTAAAAAAAATGCCCTTCCGACTTATGGACTCGTGGCTGGGAATCAGTTTACTCGAGAACCTTTCAGGTGGTGCGAAAATAAAGGGCGCTGTTTTGAAAATTTTGAGGAAAAAACGGGGAAAAAAATTGACGCACATGTTCAAAATCGACGCTCGCTCTGACCAGAGACCGATCTTGTTTTTCTTTCGCCTATTACCTCTAGGGGCCCGTATGGTCGTTATCAGTAACTGAGGCTCATTAGTTACAGACGTGCTGACTGGTCACGGCTGATTGGGTTGTGACTGGTATTACTGTACTTTCACAGCAGTATAGTGAAATGTAGTTAGAGAGAGGACTTTGGGGGTGTATGAGCTACCATAAAACTACATATTTTACCTACTATACCGCTATCCCCAGTCTTGCTATTTCCGGGTGGGTTGAGCTACGACGGTAAACAAACTTTTCTACGACTAAATATGTGTACACAGTGATTGGGCAATAAAACTCATCACTTTATTTCAAAGTTAAAATTTGACTTTATTGTAAGGATTTTTGTTGTTTGAAATATAAAATGTGTTTAAAATGACAATAAAACGTGTTTTTAGAGAGTAAGTTTTTTTTCTTTTAAAAAACCTTGGCCAAAACTAACCCAGCTTTTTTTAGTTTATTTCACCCGATATTAAGTTTCCCTGGGAAGGGTACATATGTTCGCACGTAATCCTTTCATATTTCATCGCTGCAACCTCGGTAGCTTTTTTAAATTGCTAATTAATCTAGCACGGGATGGTACATAATCATTTTCACACTAATGCGTCGTGGATTCCAATTCATTTACCAATTAATAGAGATTTGAAGCTTTTCATGGTGGTGGTAGCAAGTGAACTTGATAGGTTTGCGGTAGCACTATGGATATCTCTTTTGTGAGTATATGGGGTTCTTTGACCTCACATACTCACACAAGTGTGTATTTGCCTGCAACTGGGGACCCCCAATTGTTCCTCTTTTGTTTGTATTTTAACTTTTTTAGAAGACCACCCATATGTT